CTCTCTCTCTCTCTCTCTCTCTCGCCTTCTCTCTCTCTCTTGTCCCCTCTCTCTCTTGCACTCTCTCTCTCTCTCTTGCCCTCTCTTTCTCTCTCTTTCGCCCTCTCTCTCTCTCGCCCTCTCTCTCTCTTTTGCCCTCTCTCTTCTGCCCTCTCTCTCTCACTCTCCTTCTCTCTCTCGCCCTCTCTCTCTCTCTCTCGCCCTGTCTCACTTTTGCCCTCTCCCTCGCTCTTTTGGCCTCTCTCGCCCCATCTCTCTTGCCTTCTCTCTCTCTATCACAGCGTCTCTCTCTCTTTCTGTTGCTCTCTCTCTCTTGCCCTCTCTCTCTCTCTTGCCTTCTCTCTATTTCTCATCTTCTCCCCCCCCCCCCCCCCCCTCTGGTTCTTCCTCCTAAATGCAGTTTTTCCCTCCCTCTGTCTCCGGTTGGGAGTCGTTGTTTTCCTGTAAATAACTCTGATTCTGATCTGCTTTTGTGATTCTCTGATGTTTAAATAAAGTTTTATTTATTGTTTTCCAGCTCCGCTAAGTCTTTCGCTGCGTCTCCGGCCGGACCGCCGCAGGCCATCGCCGGCCGCAAGATCAAGACCGCCGTGCGGCGCAGGAAGTAGCTCCGCCCCCCCCGCCGGACTCCGACCGGACGCGTCCCGACCGACCCAAAACGACCCGATGGAGGGGGCGGCGTCCAGTAGCCAATGGCGGCGTCCCAGAGCTAATGGACAGCTAATGGCGGCGCCCCCCGGCTAATGGCGGCGCCCATTAGCTAATGGTGGCGCCTCACAGCTAATGGAGGCGTCCTATAGCTAATGGTGGCGCCCCACGGCTAATGGTGGCACCCAGTAGCTAAAGGCGGCGTCCATTAGCTAATGGCGGCGCCCCTTAGCTAATGGTGGCACCCACTAGCCAATGGCGGCGTCCTACAGCTAATGGCGGCGTCCCTTAGCTAACGGCGGCCTCTCACAGCTAATGGAGGCGTCCTATAGCTAATGGCGGCGCCTCACAGCTAATGGCGGCGTCCCACAGCTAATGGCGGCGTCTCACGGCTAATGGCGGTGGCCCACAGCCAATGGCGGCGTCCCTTAGCTAATGGTGGCGCCCAGTAGCCGGGGGCGGCGTCCCAAAGCTAATGGCGGCGTCCCAGAGCTAATGGCGGCACCCCATCGCTAATGGCGGCGTTCCACGGCTAACGGCGGCGCCCTACAGCTAATGGCGGCGTCCCTTAGCTAATGGTGGCGTCCCTTAGCTAATGGTGGCGTCCCTTAGCTAATGGTGGCGGCCCACAGCCAATGGCGGCGTCCCATAGCTAATGGCGGCGCCCCTTAGCTAATGGCGGCGCCCATTAGCTAATGGTGGCGTCCTACAGCTAATGGCGGCGTCCAGCTGCCGTGGAAGCCCCTTAGCTAATGGCGGCGCCCCTTAGCTAATGGCGGCGTCCCTTAGCTAATGGCTGCGCCTCATAGCTAATGGCGGCGTCCTACAGCTAATGGCGTCGCCTCATAGCTAATGGCGGCGTTTCACAGCTAATGGCGGCGTCCCCTGGCTAACGGCTAATGGCAGCCAGGGACGCCGCCCCTTAGCTAATGGCTGCGCCTCATAGCTAATGGCAGCGCCTCATAGCTAATGGCTGCGTCCCTTAGCTAATGGCTGCGCCTCATAGCTAATGGCGGCGTCCTACAGCTAATGGCGGCGCCCCTTAGCTAATGGCGGCACCCCATCGCTAATGGCGGCATTCCACGGCTAACGGCGGCGTCCTACAGCTAATGGCGGCTGCCCACGGCTAATGGCGGCGCCCCAGCAGCTAATGGCGGCGTCCCAGAGCTAATGGCGGCGCCCAGCAACTGGGGGCGGCGCCCCTTAGCTAATGGCGGCGTCCCCTGGCTAATGGCAGCGCCCCTTAGCTAATGGCGGCTTCCTACAGCTAATGGCAGCGCCTCATAGCTAATGGCGGAGCATCATAGCTAATGGCGGCCCCCTAAGCTGTGGTCCGGCCTCCAGACGCTAACGTGTGACACCTGAAGACTTCCCGGACGCAAACCAAACCGACAGAGATTTGACCTTTGACCCCGACCCGGCCGAGACGCCGCGCTTCACCCCGGAAAAAAAACACGCCAGACACCATCTTTGTTCCCGTCTGCTCGACTGACCTTTCGTAATAAAACTACCGAGGCAAAAAACTGCTGGTTGACGGAGTTGTGAGTGTTGGGTTGTGATCAAACTGAGCTGTGAAAGGGGGGGATGGAGTCAGTGGGGGGGGGGGGGTGTCCTCCGGGGGGGGTGTGGGGGTGTGGGTGTGTGTGGGTGTGTGTGTGTGTGTGTGTG